GAATTTATACCAACTAAAATGAGCAAATTGCAAAAAAATTATTGAATAAATTTCAAATTATTGCATTTTTTATAACAAAGTTGTAGAATTACAAATGTAGATTTTAAAAAAAAAAAAAAAAAACTTTTATCATATATACAGGGGAATTTCATCAAATTTTTTTAAAATTTATGCCCATTAAAATGTAAGAAATTTGTTGGACAATTTCAGAAAATGGCATGAAAATGGACGAAATCTGGGAAGGAACTTAAGGAAAATGAACGTGATTCTAGTTGGTAACTTTAATTTCCAACTTGCATTTTGTTGGTAATTTGGTCAGTTCCCTATACCAACGTGAAGTTGGTCGGTAATTTGGGTGAGGATTCCAAATTTTTTTTGTTTTTGCATTCCCACGCTCCGTAACTTACCTATGTGATATTTGTCGGTAAAATTAATACCGACTAAATGCAAATGGGTAAATTGGCTTATATATACTGTCAACCCACCATTCTACCCAGCTTATTTCTTCTTATCTTCCTTCTTATTCTTCTTCTTCTTTTTTCTTCTCCTCTGGCTTGCCTCCTCTTTTTCTCCCATTCAATGCTGCTGGATTAATTTTTTATGTTTATAATTACATTATTCATATAATTTTAGGTTTATATCTTTTCAATCTCCTCTCTTTTTCTCTTTCATTGTTTCTTCCTATTTGATTAAATACTAATTTGTGTTATTAATCAATTTATTTGCAATTTTAATTTTTTTAAATTTTGTTTTCTAGGAAACATTAGGAGATAATTATTGGGGTAAGTAAATTTTCTTTGTGCAAATTAACATTTTTTTTTAATTTATATGTTGATTAGAGCTATTAGGGTTGAAATTAATTATAGATAAATACTAACGTAATTTATGTTTTTTTATTTTCCTAGGAAATGGTGTTCTGCAAATTTTCATCTATTGAGGTAATCTTTAATTACTTTTTTAGGTTATCTAGTTGTATTTTACTTTGTCATTTTATTCTTCTTTTTTAAGTTATGTTTTAATCTTTAATTTAAATAAATAAATACAACAATTTTCTGTTTACATTGTGAAATTTTTGTGTTAAATTTATTTTTTATGATATTAAATATTACGAATTACTTAATGTTTAATTGTAAATTAATTTAATTAAACAAAAATTACATATATTAATCTCAATATGAATTCAAGAAATTTTTTTTTTTAATTTTTGGAGATTTATTTACCAATGTTATTCTTGTCAGTAAGTGGGAGAAAAGAAAAATGGCACCTAAAATTGCCGACTCCCATCTTGTCGGTGACTTTTAAATTTCGGACATGATTTCCTTGCTCAATCACTAGCAAGCGAAGAACTTCCTGTACTTTCAGACGTGATTTTCGTTGATGAATCACTGACATGGCTCAACTTGCAAGGCATTTCCTGTAGTCCTAGATGTGATATTCGTCAATAAGTTTTAATTCTGCGGCACCATCCTCCTCGGTAAATAACTGACATAGCTTAGGGTTCCAAGTACCTTCTCTACGTGCAAATGTTATTCTTGTCGGTAAATTATCGACATGGAAACCAGAGAAGATTTTCGGTGTTACTATTTCGGTCTATCCTTGCGAGAAGTTTCTTGTCGGTAATTAGGAGGTAGTTTACCGATGTGATTCTCAACTATGTCGGTAAATGAATTACTGAGCCCGGTTTCACCGACAAAACTATTACCAACGTGATCCAAGTTGGAGTGTTGTTTCACTGACCTGATTGCCTTTCTTACCAACATGGTTTCTCATCAGTGAAATTGTTAATTCTTGTAGTATCAATGATTCCTAAAATCATGTTATATATAATATGTAAATACTATAAATAGTGAAATATCCTCTTTCTCTCTCCTCACCTTTAGAGAGACCTCATATCTTTGGTGCCTAAAATGTTTTTGTTCCGTTTCATGCATAAATTTAAAACTAGAGAGGTAGTTAGACAATAATCATATAGGAGAAGAAACTAAAAGGGGAAATGACAGGAAATTCCACTACTAGAATTCATAAATTCCCCTACAAGAAATCATGTAGGAAAGAAAGGAAATCACGTCAGTAAAGCAATTTTCCAATAAGAATCACGTTGGTAATTGGGTCCTCCATGAAAGTGGCCTCGATAATTCATTTATCGACGTGGATAAAAGTTACGTCAGTAAGATAACTCCAAATTATCGACAAAAAACATGTGTCCAAAGTTGTCCCAGAACAGTACTACAAGAGTTTTTTTTTGGTAACCCACGTTGGTAATCCACCGACAAAGATCATGTCTCTTAGTACAATAAATAGTGTCTTGGCAGGTGGGATGGTGGGCTAGTTAACAACAAGAATCATGTCTCTACCTACTATGAACAATGCTTACTAGGTGGAGTAGGTTGGCTAATTACCAAGGAGAATGATGTCTAAAATTTGAATCGGCAATGCAACGTAGGAATTTTGAGTTTGGCAAATTACTGATGAAGGTCACATGGATACATAAATCTACTAAAATAGAAAAAAAAGTTTCCTGAATTAATATTGAAATTAATATATAATTTTTATTTAATTCAATTAATTTAAAGTTAAATATTACCTAATTCATAATATTTAATTTTATAAAAAAATAAATATAATATTAAAATATTACATTACATAAAAAAATTATTATGTTTATTTATTCAAATTAATGATTAAAACAAAATTTAGAAAATAAGAATAATATTACAAACTTAAAATATAATTACATAATCCAAAAAATTGAAAATTACCTCAATAAAGTTAATTTACAACACACCATTTCTTGGAAAAAAAAATTAAAAAAAAGTTAGAATTGCGATTAAATTGATTAATAACACAAATTAGTGTTTAATCAAATAAAGAGAAAGAATGGAAGAGAAAAAAAGAGGAAATTGAGAAGATGCAAACCTAAAATTATATGAATATAATGTAATTATAAACATAATACAATTAATCTAGCAGCATTTGAATAATGGAAGAGAAGAGGAGGAACAAAGAAGGGAGGAGAAGAAAAAAGAAGAAGGAAAGAAAGAAAGAAAGAAGAACTAAGCGGGTTAGGGTGTTGTGGTACTATATAGAGT